TGGAGCAAGAAAAAAGAAAAGCAACCAAAATCGTCACTTATCCCCTTTTATGACTAGCTTCTTCATATGTCAACTTAACTATAAAAAAAAATTTTAACTTGGGTGTTGCTATTTTTGGAAACCAAAAGTTCAAGGGTCTTAGAGAAAAGGTGAATGAAATACAGGTATCAAAAACTGTGCTTGGCCACCTTCAGGCAGCTCAAAAACTTGCCAAGACTTAGATTTTGATGGGTTAGTATAACCACCATTTATCAGTTGTTGCTACAATCATGGTATCAAAAAGTCCCAAAAATCTGCCCAATCATTGGTAACCAGATTGTTACTGTAGCAACAGTATGACCTGCTGAAATGCCCTTAATTATAGCTTTAAGGGCCTATAATTCAAAAATGGCACTGTAAAAAAATTATTTTATCAAGTTTTGCTTAGCAGAATAAGACGCAACTTTTGGCAAAGTTTCTAAAATATCTGTACTTGGGGTTCAGAACCACCCTAAAGTTTTGAAAATTTTAGGTGGCTCTGAGCCCTAAGTACAGAATTTTTGTAAACTTTGCCAAAACTTTGCCAAAAGTTGCATCTGATCCTGCTTATCAAAATTTGATAAAATTAAAAAAAATTTAACCAGGCTGTTTTTGAACTATGAGCTCTTAAAACTGTAATAAAGGGTATTTTCAGCCAGTCATACTGTTCCTACAGTAACCTATTGTGCCACGAAAATGATACCAATGTATTTACCAATGGCTAAGCATGTTTTTGATACCATGATTGTAGCATCAACTGATAAAGAGTGGTTTTAATGACCCATCAAAATCTGTCTTGGAAAGTGCTGGAAAATGTTTTGAGCCACCTTAATACGGCCTGATGTTTGTGGCCCGTTGGTGACCAGATTAATGGGGTTCCACCGTAGAAGTATTTTTTTTTTACTTATTCCATTTTTTTACATTCTTTTGTTGAGTTATTTTTTTGTTAAAAAAATACCACTTAGTCGGCACGTCGGGTATGTTATGGACGGGTCAATGGATGAGTGAGTGAGTGAGTGGGTGAATGAGTGAGAGATGTATGTATGTC